TCATCAATTCTTCCTCTTCAGATCTCTCATGCCCTTCCCTCGAGTTTCTTTTGAATGGCTCCTTCAGCAACTGGAGGAGTATCCGTTTAACCTTCCACCGGCCGCGGAGAGAACAGGAAGGTGAAATAACGGGAGATAAGAGGTGCAGGGAGATAGGGGAGGTAACAGGAGGGCATGGACGGAGACATGAATACTTTCCCCTGGGCTGCAGGACTCACCAAGCCAAAATGTGGAACTACACACCAAAGAGTGAGAGAACACCAAAGTGGAGATCGGAGAGGGAGTTTATAAAAAGAGGAATCCCACCCGTTTGAATTAGACTTTAAAGTGGAAGGCATTTCTGGAAGTCCGACTAGCATTCAATACAGATTCTCCTGCTTGGGAAATATAAGTACAAATACATTGCGACCTACAGATCTATATTGTCCAGTGAACTTTGATAAAAGGACACATGGGGAGCATCAGGTTGTCAGGCAGGATGGGGGGGGGGGGGGGAGGGGGGGGGGGGATGCAGTGAGCATGCTCACCTGGCCATCTTTCATGCCCACTTTCTCCCCCCATACCTCTGAAAGGGAGGAGGAGGGAGAGGGGAGGGCGCTACTCAAGGAGCTATGCACACTCGCATCGCCCTAGACACACATGGACATACTAGTTAGATGAAGATACACAAACTCAATCAAAACTCCATCAAACAACAGACAGAACTCCTACCAGGCTGCGAGGTGGCATGGTCTGTGTGTTCTGATCTGTCTCTTCCACTTGCTTCTTCTCCCGCTGATCAAGTGTCTGAAACAAGCAGTGGAGTAATGTAGTGAAGTACAAGTATTGTACTTTTTGAGGCACTTGTATTTTACTTTAATTGAGTATTTTTATTTTATGCTAGTTAATACTTCTACTCCACTACAATTTGGAAGCCAATATTTTACGTTTGACTCCATTACATTTGTCAGACAAAATGTGTTACTAGTTATTTTATAGATTCAGGTTATTAGCTATTACAAAATGTAAATTAACAAATTATTAAACTATGATATATAATTATAGGTATGAGTACTTCTTCCACCATTGAAAACATTAGGCGCTTTCACACCGGAGTACTTCTCCCTTTTAGTTCCGATATTTCCTGGGATTTTGCGTTCACACCAAAAAGAGAACTTAGTTCATGAGAACTTTTCCCCCCTTTCCAGTCCCTGCTAGAGAGCAGGTACTTTCCTGGGTAGAAAAAAGTTCCACTTTCTGTTTGGCCGGGCGAATTGCAAACCACGCCCCGTAAAACTCTGAAAAGTTTTGTGAAGCGGAGCCGCCATTGTATTTGCTGGCATTAGCATTAGCATTAGCCCAGCGCAGAAACGCAGAGAGACTAACTTATGGCAACACAAAAGAAAACATGGGAGTGGTGGAGATGAGGAGGTGTCGGCGTTCTGGCGATTTACTCGGAAGGCTTCAGTAGAAGCTGCTGGGAGTCCCAGCAGCTTCTACTGAAGCCAGTCCCCAACTCTGGGGACTTCCGGTCGGGAACTTCGGGTGGCAGTACACGCCTTGAAGTTGTTTGCGGCCTGCCAGTAAACCCAAAGCAGAAGAAGAAGAAGTGACGTCAGCGGCTTCATTTGCCTAATCCTCCCTCAGGGACTTATTCCGGTGTGAACGCGATCTGTACTTAGTTCATCAGAACTAAAGAGTTCTGATTAACTAAATTCTGATGAACCTCTGTGGGAAAAGTACTGCGGTGTGAATGCGCCTATTATACTCATTTGCAGAGAAAAATTACAGAAACAATAACCTAGACTGCAGTGCATCTTTCCCTGAGGATGGAAAAGTAAAATAGTGATGATACAGATGTATTTCACTTTTTAAAAGCAGATACCAAAACACAATGAATTAACAAATCGTATTACAGATAATACCAACATGACAAGTCCTGCTCAGGCAGGTCTGAACATGATAGAAAATGTAGATGTTTTAGGAGTGACATTTGGATGTCTTGCATTTATTTGTGTTGTTTAGTTAGTTATGTTGTTACCTGTTGGTTGGATGTCAAAAGAAGGCTAGCTTTGCGTTTCATAATCCAAACCATGGCTCTACTCAAATAAAATGCTTAGTGAACTATGTAGTGCTTTGCCACTTTTGTAAGAAGAGTGTGTACCAGATATTGACGTGCATACATTTTTTTAATGGGTATAGGACCGACAGCATGTCTGGTTACTTCCCATTTGTTTGACAAGAATGATTTGATCATAGAAGATAATAAATAATAGATAACATAACGGTAAATAAACAAAGGAAGCTAAATATTACTGTGAATATTACTGTCATCACAGTTGGCATAGGGGCATGGTAAAAGGCACACTGAGGGAAACACATTAATAGCTTACCTGGACATTGATAAAATAAAACCCAAGTCATTGTTTGTTCAAAACAGATTTATTGGAAGTCTTTTACAAGTAACCTGCTTACCCTCTCCTTCAAGGTTGTGAAGGCCAAACAGGGCAACGGAAAGAAGCAGCCTTAAGTAGAGGCTCAATCAGTGGGAACACCTGTGCTCAATTGGAGCATAGTGCATGGGCACGGGTGGCACTTTTCTTGCAAGTGTAAAAATGTTATTGTTTGGGGCTTCTCTGGTCAGAAAGATATAATAATATGTTGACCTATTTTGATTTGTTGTGTTTGGGTAATTTGTCTTGCATTGTGAATGTGTTTGTAGATTAGAATGACATTGGTTAGGGGTATAAATAGTGGATTGTCCTATATAAAACCCTGGCCACAAGTGTTTTCGGGGAGTCTGACTGTAGAGCAGAGAGTACCATATGTCCTCGACCTGTATGTATATATGAGGTTTTTGTTTTCTTTGCGTAAAATCCTTTTTTTCAGCATGTTGGCTGTCAATAAAAGCACCTAAGGATACATTTTTTGTGACTCTAGCCATCTTATTTAGTTCCTAGTTTTTTTCATCTAACCTTTTTGTAACAATTACCACGATAAACTGGTGCTGTAAAAGAATGACACTTGACAGCAGTAATATGTCACTGTAATATTTACAACTTCCACTATGTTATAAAGTGCTTCTATAAAGTTGTTGCAAACATGTCAACAATTGTCTAATTTACACATCCTTAGAAAAATATCTTGCTCTTCAGCTACTAATTTCAATCCGCTAACCCAGGGGTTCCCAACCCCAGGTGTTACTGCCGGGCCGCAAAATAGCTGTGAATTTATCGTAATATTTGCCGAATTATAAATATATAAAAATATTTTATCATGATATTTTTTCAAAAAGTGTTTAATTTTTGCACCTATACAGTCAATAGTGAAATAGTGGCTCTGGAGCAGCTTTACTCGACATTGAGAAACACCCATTGTCTTCTGATTAATATGAAAAAAATGATAAGTGGAGCTTCAAACAAGTTAGGTATGAGTTGCGTTGTATATTAAGTTCTTAAATATTTATTGAATTATTAAAAAAAGAGGAACAGCAACATTCTAACTTTTGAAAGGACATCGTTCTTTTGTATGGGGAATGGAACACATATGTAATAAAGTAATGCTTTTGTGCATTTTGGTCAACCAAGTTTAATCAAACAACATGACATCCCGAACACTTTTACATGGCCGCTCACCTTGTCGTAGAGGTTTCCAGCGTTCTTCCTGTCGTCTTCGTCGCTGCTGTCCTCTACTGGAGGGCTCTGCCTCTTCATGTCGTCTCCCAGGTAGTGTTCAAAGACGCTGGAGAAAGCCACCGCCGACAGCATACACACCACCGGAGTCAGCGTGAGCATCAAACGCACCATGACGCCAGCAAAGTAAACAGCACTGATGGCATACAGGGCCACTGGTGGACGGAGAGCAGAGAGACAGATAATGAGGTTCCAGCTGACCTGGACGGTACCACTCAAGCTCTGTGAATTAGATTTCATTTGAAACATAACTTCATTATTCAATTTACTTTCATTTAGTGCCGTTGAGTCATATTGCAGGTACACTGCCTCTGAGCCCTTTCCACAGGCTGATCATACTTTCCACATGCTCACTGACAGGACATCCTTTCTTAGCACATGTCACATCGGTCATTGATATTGACTTAATGACGTCTGGACTTCCAATGCCAGGTTTTATCACTATATCAAGTGTTATATCATTCTAATGAAGTAACTGACTAGCAGATATTTTAATAACCCAAATACGAAGATAGAACAATCAAACTTTCTGGAGTATTAAGTCATATTTTATAAAACAGGAAGTCAACCAAGTTCAATAATCTGACATATAGGAAGTTATTGTTGTTCTCTTGATTACTGTTACTCATTCCTTTTTGTTGTGTTTTAGCAGAAGTTAAAATAAATCTCAAGAGTCCACACACTATCAGGGCCCATTGGTTTCAAATCATTTCATAAATAAATACATCATTTGTCTGTATTGTTTTTCTTCTTTCTGATCTCAACTACGATCAGCTGACCTTTTTGAGATTGTGGAAACACTTTAAGATGGACCTCGAGATTTGTTTTTGTGTATTTTGTACGTTACTTTTTCCATGATATGCTCTCACCAAAAACACGTTCATCATTTATGTTCTTAATGCAGAACCAGAGGCCTGCTGGGAAGGTGCAGACGAGGATGTGAAGGTCAAAGAAGAAGGACACCCAGGTGGTGGGCTGATGCTCTGATACTGATGCTATGATGGGAATGTGGATCTTGGCATAGCTGTAGAGAACATGGAAGAGCAGTCAGATAACACAGGAAAAGCATGCCTAGGCAAAGGAGCAAAAAACAATGTTCTTTATCATTTCCCTTTAAGATAAAAAGGCAGAATATTTCATTGTATTCCTTTTTAATTCCTACTTGACGACCTTATTAAAAGTGAAGCTCTGAGATTTTATTCAGGTTTGGCTGATGTCAGTTATCTTGGGTCTGTTGCTGACCTCGTTACTTTTACTGCAGCAAAACTTGACATCCTTTTAGAAAGAAATATTAAGGTGTGTGCATCAACACACAACAATATGGTCACATACACTGAGGGAGAGTTTTAGGGTTTAAAAACTGATGCTGCAGTCTCACAGTTTCCTGAAAGATGAGAGAAAGGGAGCATTATCTGTTCCGGGTTTGATGAGAGACTGCATGTTTGACCATGAGAACATTTTGGCAGCTACACAGAGTGTGATAATCTTTTTATGCAAATGATATCTTTAGGATCGGGCTGAAACATTGTTCATTCAAAAATTGGGAGGATAATTCATTCATTATTTGTATTTGTTTCACTTGCGCATGAGAATAAAATTATTATTCCGAGCATGTGTTTATTACTAAACAAAACATTAAAACTTCCATCAGCAAGTAAACATGCGGGTATACATCTTTACAAAATGGACATCCACCATGCCACTTTCTTTCGAACAGTTTAAAAGAGTTATAGGTATATGTGCTACTGCACATAATTAAAATCTAATTATTAACAGTACTACTGTAAGGTACCCCAGTGCAAAAGTATAACAACTGTGAGGCCTTACCCAGTATCCCACAGGGAGTAGAAGCGCCCACTCCATGGAGCAATGTAACCTGAGGGTGAAACACACACACACACCATATGAGTTCAGTAAGAATATACTCAAGTTAATTTAAAACACAGACAGACACAACACACACCAACCTGAACACAGGTTGTTCGCACGCTCTGTGATCTGTGTATTCTGTCAGGCATCAGTGGACTGGTGATTGGTTGATGTGCCCATCATATAATCATTCTCTCATGTGCCTGTACTGCAGTGCTGCAGACCTGATCAGCTGTAATGAGCTCTCTGACCTGCATCTCTTGTAGTTATAAAGCCAGCAGGTGGTCCTAGCACACATACTGCAGATCATGGATGGCTGATTTGAATCATAACAAGCTATTGCTTCACATGTAGTATTTCAATTCTACTTATTCACTTTCATTCCATTGTACAGGTCATCTGTATTAAAGAGTGTGTGACAGCGATCCCACACTAATTAGACCTCAATACTTACTTCCAGGCTAATGGCCAAGTAGCATCCTGTTAGTCATTATTTTCACAAGATGTCCGATAATGACAAAATCATCTGTTAGGCCTATTTCATAGTGAGCTTTGTGAAACCATAGAACATAAATACACATCAGATGTCCTGATAATGCACTGATGAGATGATAATTACTAGAACTGTCAGAGGAACCTGTCAGTCTGTATGACTTTTTGTTTACTACTCGTGGTTTGTTTGTGTGTGAACACAAACCAGACCAGGACTAAAACACACTATTTTCCCATGTTATGAAAGACTGAGGTCTGAGTGGGCTTTCACAACTATAGCAGTTAATTTAGTCCACTCAGGGGCAGTTAATTTAGTCCACTCAGGGGTTTCTTATTCTTTGGCAGAGAACAAGGTTGCTTGCAGTTACTAGGAGTAAAAAAAGACGGAAAGCATTCTTTGAATTGGTTGCACAAAGGGAAATTAAATATTGCCTTTCTGTTGTTAATTTTTGAAAACACATGCACAAACACATACAGTGGGCCAAAAAAGCATTTAGTCAGCCACCAATTGTGGAAGTTCTCCCCCTTAAAAAGATGAGAGGCCTGTAATTTTCATCCTAGGTATACCTCAACTATGAGAGACAAAATGAGAGAAAAAAATCCAGAAAATCACATTGTCTGATTTTTAAAGAATTTATTTGCAAATTATGGTGGAAAATAAGTATTTGGTCAATAACAAAAGTTCATCTCAATACTTTGTTATATACCCTTTGTTGGCAATGACAGAGGTCAAACGTTTTCTGTAAGTCTTCACAAGGTGTTCACACACTGTTGCTGGTATTTTGGCCCATTCCTCCATGCAGATCTCCTCTAGAGCAGTGATGTTTTGGGGCTGTTGCTGGGCAACATGTACTTTCAACTCCCTGCAAAGATTTTCTATGGGTTGAGATCTGGAGACTGGCTAAGGCCACTCCAGGACCTTAGAATGCTTCTTACGAAG